CCATAAGTAAGCATAGAAAAACAAAACAAGAATTATTTACTATTGTCATTATCTCATGAACAAAAGAATATTTGGCAGTAAAAAAGTATGAAGGGCATAGCTTAGAAAGAAAGAACAGTCTTTTAAATAAAATCAATTTAGTTTTTTTTTTTCTTTTTTGTCTTTTTTACTGACCAGTAACAGGATCGCAACCCTCGGTGTTGTGCCCGCACCGCGCTCAGCCAGTGAGCGGGAACCGGTCTCCACATGGAGCGCCGCCGAGCTCCCAAGTGGCGCACTCTCCAGTGCGCCACCGGGCCGGCCCAAAATCAATTTAGTTTTATAAAAATATATTAAGTCTTGTTGGTCTACATTGCCTTTTATACAATGCATGTGTATCGCCTCTGTAAAACAATAAGCTGTTAACAAATAAAACAACTGGTTCTCAACAATAATAACAAAATAAATAGAGTACATTTTTTTTAATGGCAAAACCAAACTATTGTGTCAGGAATGCACATTTGGGTGATAGAACTATTGGGAACAAATGCAGGGAGAGGATTACTGCAGAGGTCAGGATAATGATTTCTTGTCGGAAGAGGAGGGAATGTGGCACATGGAAGGGACTTTTGCCGTAGGCAGCAAAGTTGTACTTCTTTTTTTTTTTGTCTTTTGTCTTTTTTCCGTGTCCGGCAACGGATCGCAACCCTCAGTGTTGCCCCCGTACCGGACCGGGGACCGGCAACGGGATTGCAAGCCTCGGTGTTGCTCCCGCGCCTCGCTCAGCCAGTGAGCGGGAGCCGGTCCGTATGTGGGATCCGAACCCTCGGATGGGAGCGCCGCCGCGCTTCCCAAGCGGCGCATTATCCAGTGTGCCACCAGGCCGGCCCAAAGTTGTACTTCTTGACCTGGGTGTTACAAGCATGTTCATCTTACAACAGTGTACTGAACCATACATTTGTAGTGTATAGTTTTCTGTATCTGTGTTTTATTTTTCAATAAAAAAATTAAAAGTACACATTATATCCATTAGATGGAGTATCTCCTCTCTCTAACCACCTCTAACAACATCCTTAATACTAATTTTTAGAGATAAATCAGATGCTTGACTTTTGAGAGGTCTACTTAGCTATCTTTGCTAATCCTAAAATTTGAAATATACCACTTGGGCATAAAATTTACCTAGTTCACTTAACTGTAAAATGACCATGGTAATATTTATCTAACAAGTAGGCCTTGAGTGAGGCTGTGATGATGACAGTAATTTTTGTATTAAAAGAGAACAATATAAAACCATGTTGTAAAATAAATGCTAGGCAGCTGGCTAAGTTCATTCAATGTCTAAGTGCCTTGTATGACTTACAGTTTACCCTTTAAATTTGTGCCTAAGCAAAATTATAATGACTGTCATAACCTTTGGAACTGCTAGCAAGTCATTAGAAAATAATTAAATAAAAATACCAATAATCTACACACAGTCCTAGGGCCTCTACGAAACTACCCTTTTTCCTCAGCTGCATATTGAATCCAGACTATTAGCGATTCTACTTACTTAAAAGGACTTGGGCCTGCCTACCAAAAGAAACAAGGAAGGGGGTTTAATACTAAAACCTAAGGCCAGGAAGTGAAGTATCTCCTACCATAGGGGTAGAATCTCCAGCCACCATGGTAGAAGAAGCAATGCAAAGGCTATAATATAGTTGCAAGGAAGTAGACAATGAACAAGAACCAAGAATGATGATATATTCTGAAAAGGTATGTGACTGACCTGGGACCATGTTAACAGGGGATGCTGGGTTGAAGTTCTGGAACCACATATGTAATTATTTTTGTTATGATATATAACAAGGAAAACAAAAGTCAGACAAGATCCATGCCTATGTGTACATGTGCATTACTGTCGTCCTATGACATATGAGAAGGCAAATATAAGTCAAATAAGATCTATGAGTGTGACATTCAGGTAGAAAGGACAAGGCAGAAAAAAAGAGAAGAAACTTGGATAATGAGAACATGGGAAGAACTAACAGCATTAGATACGAAGTGGTGAACTAGAAAATGAAGAAGAAATAGGGGATCTCAACAAAGAGGAAAAGAAGAGTGAAAAAACAAGAGCAGAAGAAAATGGGAATGACACTTACCAAAGGACACTTTAAAAACAAGTCAGAGAAGTTATTTTAATATATTTATTTTAAAGTAGCTAGAAATCAGATATGACCATAGGTATATATTTGGCCAGCAAAAAAAATCTATATTTAAGACGTGCTTTAGAGAAAGTAACATAGTATAGTGTATACATGATTTATTTCTGATTTAGGCTGTATAATCTTATGTATGGTATATATGAAGTCATAATTACAAAAATAATTTACCCATTAATTAGTTACTTTATTTTATTTTATTTTGAAAAGGAAAGTTCTTTTTTTTTTTTCAAATATTTGTTCCAATTTATCATTTATCCTTTGACTTTATGGTATTTCTTTGCTGCACCAAAGTTTTTCTTTAAATATTAAATTGACTGATTAAGTTTGAATATATTCAAGATATACAAAATGATGATTTGATATATGCACATATTGTGTAATGATTACCAAAGTCAAATTAATCAACACATCCATTACCACCCAGGCTGTATATTAGATACCCAGAACTTGTTCATCTTACAGCTGAAAGTTTGTACCCTTTGACCAACATCTTCTCATTTCCCAAACCCTGTAAGCCCTAGAAACCACCATTCTACTCCCTCCTTCTATGAGTTCAACTTTTTAATCTTACAGCTGAAAGTTTGTACCCTTTGACCAACATCTTCTCATTTCCCAAACCCTGTAAGTCCTAGAAACCACCATTCTACTCCCTCCTTCTATGAGTTCAACTTTTTAAAATTTCATAAGAGTTCTTACCAAGTGGTATATATCATCTAAACAAGTAAATTCATTAAAGCTAATATTCAGTTTTCGAAGTCCTGTTAACTTGGAGAGATCTCTCAATTTACTCAAGCTGTTTCCATGCAGATTCAGACTCTGAGTAGAAAAAAATATAAATAAAAAAAAAGACAGGTTGCATTCTATGTCATACTGAAATTTTGATATCTAAAATATTTAGAACAATTATGTGATTCACTATAATATAAAATGAAAAAGTTATTTTAAACAACATTAAGAGAGTGCCAATAAGAAAAAATCTAATGTATGATTTTAAAAGGTAAAATGTTTATACTAGCATCACTGGACCTATTTCTTGACTGATATGATTTTCCACTTGGTCCAAGTTGATCAATAATTGGTATAAATTCTTTTTACAAAATAATTAAATATATGGGTTAAGATACTAATTAGGGCAAATCTATTTCTCAGGCTAGCCAGTGGACAATGTAGGCCTTAAAGATTTTATATATCAGATAGGATGCCTTATGGGAGACAGATGGAAAGGGTACACCTTGCTTGAATGAAACCATAGGAGGGCAATGGACCAAGGAAGACAGGCTGAGGGTGTTGAAGTAGGAGAACAGACATTGAATAAGGAGGTGGGAGAGTGTCCAAGACAATATTTGTATCAGAACTTGGCCCAGACTTTCCCTGTCCATTTCATCCTGGACTATATAAAAATACATGTTATTACATTTTTATATTTAGGAGATATCCTGATGCCTACATATTTTTCTGTCTTTAAACTACACCATTGAGAATGATATCAAGTGAAAACTGTTATTTATTTATAGCCTACAAAATAAACAATGGCACAAGAAAATTTATTAATACAATTGACTACATATGGTATTCACAACAAACAGGTATTATTATAGTGATAAAATCAGGTGTCTATCTCCCAGCCCTCTTCATTCACTGTCACCAACTTAATACCTTATACTGTGGACATAACTAAGTTCCTGGAAAAGAGAAACAACTAAATTTCTAACAGCTATCAAAACTAGCTAAAACTGTTAAGAAGGGCCAATTTATGTAGACTGGTTATTTTACAAGTCACATATGGGTATCACCCATGATGGATTCTACAGACTCGTCACACTTAACATGTTCACAACTGAATTCATCATCTTCCCTATGTGTCTCCTTTGCAGCCTGAATGTTCAATCCAGATCAAGAGTTTCACTATCTGGGCCGGCCCGGTGGCGCACTACTATAGTGCGCCACTTGGGAAGCGTGGCG